TGGTCAGCCACAGAGGAAGCTCCATCTTTGTACCCTGGGATGAAACAAAAGACAGTGATGGAGTAACAATACCCCGGCTCTCTGGAGCTCTAATAGTGCTACAGGGGTGTGTTTTGGTGTACACCGGATTTTTTAAGAAATCCAAGACCTCACATGTACTAAAGCACTGTTCACTTTACTGTAATACCTACAGCAAGGCTTGACGTTACCTGCTCCTTTATGTACTTAGAAATATTGCTTTTCAAATGTAGTTTATTTGTTTAGTAGTAGATTTTTAAGACTAGTAGCACCTTCTGGTAGCCGACTGAAGAACACCTGCGATGCTAACTAGCTGAAGCTTAAGCATACAAAAGTTAGAAATTTTGATACTGGTATAGTTGTTCGCGTTTATAAATACGCCGAATTTACACGCGAGTCGTGTCTATCCTTGAACGCTGGAAACTGCTTTTTCGAAGATTCTCCCTTTATAAATACAATGACATAAACAAAAGTATCAAAAATATGAATAACGTTTAGCGAGATTTAAGTAGCTTTGTGAAAAAGATAAACGGGCGACTCCGGTACTTTTGATTTACTTGTTTTAACATAAATACATTCGCAATACTTTCACTGTTATGTGTTTACCGACCTCCGGGATGTCCTGCGTGTCACTCGACTTCTCCAGAAAGCCAAGCCGAGGGAAAGTGCACTCTGTCCGGATAGGAAGTCTCTCATGAGAGAGCAAAATATCGTCCAAAGACAGGAAATTCTCCTCCATACCCACCCCAGGCGGTACGGGAAAATACGACTGCGTGTCCATTTACGTTTGAATAATCTGTAAAGCGGTCAGTTACAAAAATACTTTTAGTAAAATGTTATTGACGCAACCCAGCTCCGCTATGTTTACAGTCTGTTTTACCTTTGCTGTTTTGGCGCCAGAAAATATGACGCACCAATCAGAGCGGCGCAGAGAGCTCAAGACCAGAGCAATCGATTGCTAGTGAAAATCAAACGAAAATCAGTTATCGATTTTTTTTTTTCTCTTCTTTTCTTTTGTTTTTTGTTTTTGATTTTTTTTAAACGTGCTGAATTTCAAATTATGTAAGGACAAATAACAGGCTTAGCCCTTATTATAATACAAGTTGTTCATTCAAAGAAAAGCATAAAAAAATATGTCAATAAAAAGCAATCTGTAATTACAATTTCAGCCATTAGAGGTCAGAATATAACCATTAAAAATGTAAAGTCACCTTGTATCAGGTTGTAAGAATGTTTCGCTGTAATGATTGCAATTACAATAATTACATCTACAATTGTAAAAAGAAGATAAGTATCTTAAACTATGAATGCCAAGTTAACACTAAGTGAAATTAGCATACTTTGTCTTCCCTCTGACCTTCTTTCTATATCTCTTGATGACATTGATGAGTTTATAAAAGAAAAATGGCAGCAAGTTTATTCAGTAATCTTCCTTCTCTCCATTCAGTAAGGGTACCTTCAGTTTGCCTTGGATGTGCATACTACACACCAAAGTCATGAGTCATGCTAGTATCCACAATAAACATGTGATTATTCCAATGCTCAGAATGTAAAATAAGTCATTCATTTAAATAAAATGCAGCAGCAGTGAATGAAGGTACTATCTTTGTTTGTTTGAGCTGAGCCAGCAGGGACTTTTCACTGTGAGAAACTGACTGAAGACCACGTAATTTCCACAAAACATCATCCCCCTCTGTTAGCTGCAGGCTATGATAGACTGAGAACACTTTGTGTCCCATAAACAGGCAATAATAGCTGCAGTTATTATTATTAGTTGGTTTTCTATGGTCCTGTGTTCCATGCATCATGATGCTGAAGTTAAAATCTTCTCCTGAAATCCCTCCATGCATCATGGCCATAATAAGCAGAAGGGATGATCTCAGCACTAACAGGCCTGCAACACTTTATTTGAAGTGGCGCTCATGAGGCATCATAACCACCGCAAGCGCTCTAATATTAGAAAAACACGCGAGTGGGATTGAAGACTTTGTGCTGAAGTTCATAGCACTTTACGCTAACACTGCATTAGACATTGTAACACAATGTGGGTGCTCCAGAAGAAACTCTTGAGTAAAATATGGAATGGAATTCCTGCAAAAAAATTTAAAAAAAACTTCTGGTTGATTCGGTGAGCACGTAAACACTGACAGGTGAAATATTACTCAAATCAGGAACAGAGTTAGAGTCACAAATAAATAACTTGATGATTTTTGTGTCATTATTATGTAATTCTTGGCTGGGATAAACGTCTGGCATGATATGAATGGCGTTTTGACTCCTAACCAACATGAACCACACACCCAACATAGCTGCAGACCAAGCACACTCCTCCCCAGTGGTGCTCCCTGATGGCAGCTGCCTCGGACAGCGTGACAGTGTATCCCCACTACACCGCAAACCTGCCCAGGAATGGCTGCAGGGAAACAGCCCAAAGTCTTTCAGCTGGCCTCCAAACTCCTAATCTGATCCAGAATCTGAAGGGTGCGCATGAACAAGTCAGATCCATGGAGGAGCCCACAACCCACATGACCCAAAGCATCATCTGTCAGTGTCTCAGTGCCAAACTCTTCAGGAACCCTTCAGAGGTCCTGTGTCTATGCAAAGTAACATGACTCTACACAGAATTAACCAAAACGTATTATACAGGAGAGGTGCTTGAACTCAGCATTAAGGTTAGGGTTAAGATTTGCTTTCCAGGCAGTACCATGAAGACATTTTGGTCCTGCAGTTCTGCTTTTTCAAGCAAACAGGCAGAAATTCCTTAAAACAAGATGGATGTTAACCTAAGCTCACTCCAACCCCTAACCCTGATATAAGTGACCCACACAAACCTGGCAAATGTTAAAAATGTGCCATAAAGTCTAAACCCAGTACATCACACTGTATTTTGTCACATGCCGCCTGCGTCTCAGCACTGTGCACAAGATATCTCTGGTTTTTTACATCTTCTTGCTTCAGTAATTTATATGTGTCTGCATGCAGACTCCCATCTCTGCAGGACCTGTACACCTCCAGGACACTGGGGCGTGCAGCTC